GTTGGGGGGAATGTCGGGGGGGGTGGGGAAGTGTTGGAAGGTGAGGCAGAATGGGGTGGGGGATGGGGTGAAAATGGGGAAGGAAGCAGTGGATGGGGGAGGTGGGGAAGTGGCGGAAAGAGGGGATGGAAAATGGGAAGGAAATGATGGAGAGGTTGGGGTAGGAGGAGAGGTGGAGGTGTTTGGGGGGTGATGGGGGAAGGACCTGGGTAACAGAGAGTCTGAATGGGACGACGGGGGGGAGGGGGGGAATAGGGAAACGGGAGGGAAGGTGGTGATGAGATGGGGACTGGAGTGAGCATGGGCTAGATGGTGAAGGAAGGTGTAAAGGGAAGGGAGGCTGGGATTGAGGAGAGTTTGACGAGATGGGGAGAGAGGGGAAGGAAAGAGATATCTGGAAGTTGTAGAAGAGTGGGTGTTAGGGGAGGGGTGAAGTGTGACTACTGAGGGACCAGGTTGGTATTGAGTAACCAGCCCTGTCTACTGTGGGGCCAAGGGGAAATATAGTCTTGTAGTGAAGTATATCCACCCCCTAAGGGAGTGGAAAATCAGTGGCCGTCTCATAATTATAGTAGCCTTTGGCCTTTCCTGTGTCCACAGGACTGCATTTTCAAAGCATTTTCTGATTTTGGACTCCTCTACTCTGTGCGGGTTTGCAGGAATGCTGCTGTAGTTGAACCAGGGTATTATGCCATTGTCAAATTTTATTCAGCATTTGATGCTGCCAAAGCCCAAAATTATACAAATGAGAAGTGTTTATTCCAGACAATTCCTTTGAAGGTAAGAGCTAATTTGAAATGGTGTAGATTTTATAAGGATAATATCGTTGTTAACTTTAAACATGGATCTCTGAATGCAACCAAAGTTTATTTTAGTCTTCAAAATAAAGCAGAAGTCTTCCCTCATCACATTGATTTTGCAATATTTCCACTTCAACTAATTCTGATTCCACTAATTGTAACTTTTATTTCACTAAACAACTTTTAAAAATAATTCGAAGCATTTTGCATGGTCTATAAATCAAGTTTCAATGGCAGGTCTCAAGTTAATGTGGAATTGAAGGCAAGGCATTCTTATTTATGCATATAGAGCCATAGAACTGTACAGCATGGAAACAGACCCTTCAATCCAAATCATCCATGCTGACCAGATATCATAAATTAATCTAGTCCCATTTGTCAGTGTTTGGCCCATATCTCTATCAACCCATCCTATTCATATATCTATCCAGATGCCTTTTAAATGTTATAATTGTACCAGCCTCCACCACTTCTTCTGGCAGTTCATTCTATTCACGCACCATCCTCTGCATGAAAAAGTTGCCTCTTAAATCCCTTTTTAAAATCTTTCCCCTCTCACCTTAAACTTATGCCCTCCAGTTTTGGAGTCCCCCCACCTGAGGGAAAAGACCATGGCTATTCACCTTACCCATGCTCCTCATAATTTTTTAAACCTCTATAAGGTCATCTCTCCACCTCTGATGTTCCATGGAAAATTGCCCCAGCCTATTCAGCCTCTCCTTATAACTCAAACTATCCAACCCTGGCAATATCCTTGTAAATCTTTGCTGAACCCTTTCAAGTTTCACAACATCCTTCCTATAGTAGGTCAACCAGAATTGTGCGCGGTATTCCAATAGTGGTCTAACCAATGTCCTATACAGCTGCAACATGACCTCCCAACTCCTATATTCAATGCACTTACCAATAAAGGCAAGTGTATCAAACACCTTTTTCACTACTCTGTCTGCCTGCAACTCTCAAGGAACTATGAACCTGCACTCCAAGGTCTCTTTGTTCAGCAACACTCCCCAGGACTTTACTATTAAGTGTATAAGTCCTGCCCTGATTTGCCTTTCCAAAATGCAGCACCTCACATTTATCTAAATTAAACTGTATCTGCCACTCCTTGGCCCATTGGTCCATTTGATCAAGGCCCCGTTGTACTCTGAGGTACCCTTCTTTGCTGTCTGCTATACCTTCAATTTTGGTGGTCATTTGAAAACATACTAACCGTACCTTCTACGTTCACATCCAAATCATTTATATAAATCACGAAAAGCAGTGGGCCCAGCACTGATCCTTGTGGCACACCCCTGGTCACAGGCGTCCGTTCTTAAAATCAACCTCCACCACCACCCTCTGTCTTCTACCTTCGAACTAGTTCTCCCTGTATTCCATGTGATCTAACCTTGCCAACTAGTCTACTGTGAGGAACCTTGTTGAATGCCTTACTGAAGTCTATATAGAAACATGTCCACCGCTCTGCCCTCATCAATCTTCTTTGTTACTTCAAAAAACTCAAGCAAGTTAGTGAGACATGATTTCCCATGTACAAAGCCATGTTGATTATCCCTAATCAGTTCTTGCCTTTCCAAATACATGTAAATCCTGTTCCTTAGGATTCCTTCCAACAACTTGCTCACCACTGTCAGGCTCACCAGTCTATAGTTCCCTGGCTTTTCCTTTCCAATTTTCTTAAATAGTGGGATCATATTAGCCAACTTCCAGTCTTTTGGACCTCACCTGTGGCTATTGATGATACAAATATCTTGGCAAGGGGCCTGGCAATCGCTTCCCACACAGTTCTAGGGTACATCTGATCAGGTCCCAGGGATTTATCCACCTTTATACGTTTTAAGACATCCAGCACCACATGGACATTTTTCAAGATGTCGCTCTTTATTTCCCCATGTTCCCTATCTTCCATATCCTTCTCCACAGTAAACACTGATGCAAAATACTCATTTAGTATCTCCCTCATCTTAAATAAATTAACCAAAAATGCATGCAGTTCAGTCCGTGTCCAAATGCAGCAAGACCTGGACAATATCCAGGCTTAGACTAAACAGTGGTAAGTAATATTGATGCCACACAAATGCCAGTCAACGATCATCTCCAACAACACAGAATTTAACCATTGTCCATTGACATACATACATATCACTGAACACCAGACTAAAAATGTTCTTTAACAAAATAACACAAGTTTATCGCACAAAATAGTAAAAAACTCATGACAGTTCAGAAAAATATTTACATAAATGGCAAACCAAATTTTAAACCTGTTTCCCAGCAACATCCTTTATAGAATCTCAAACTCAGTAAAATGTCACTCCTGTCTTAACTCCTTTTAATTTGTTACTTGACGTCTCTTGGCAGGTTTTATGGCTGAGAGACCTTTTTTTTCAGTTCTGATAATAGGAGGACTTCTACACAAACTCTTTCAGCTTGATGACTTCACAAACTAACGTTTGCTAGGCTAAAACTGCTTTTCTGAACTGGAACTATTTTGAATTAAACTAAAATCACTTGTGGTCCCTGGTCTGTTTTGTCTGTCATAAAAGTTGAACTTTGTAGTCACTTGACCAGTTAACACCATAGGTATCCTGCTGGGCACTTAACTGACAAAACATGCTTTTGTGGAAGTGATGTAGTTGCTTCACTTTCAAATGACATTTTTTTGAAAATAAAGTTTCACAGGATTGTACATATGTTTTGCCTCTATTTTAAAATCCAAATTCCCAAAATCTTATCTCACATCGTAGTTTTACACGTTGCATTTTAAAGTTTCTATATTTCTGTATTTTAATGACATCTTTGGTAACCCTGTATATCTGTAATTCATTAATATATTAAAAGTCCTTTTGCACAAACTCCACTTTTTCCACTATAACTTTGTATAATTAACATAACATAATTAATCCCTTCACACCAGTGCAGTCATTACCATGCTATTTGTGGTAGGTGGGTGTCCTTGAGAAGACAAGAACTAGGAGCAGGAGTAGGCAGTTCTGCTGCTTGAGTCTACTCTGCCATTTGATACAATCATGGCTGATCTCATCTTGGCCTCAACTTCACTTTCCCGCCTGCTCTCCATAACCCTTCAACCCATTACTTGTCAAAAATCTGTCCACCACCTCCTCAAATTTATTCAGTGTTGTGTTATCCACCAGCCTTGGCTAACAAATTCCACAGATTCATGACTCTTCAAGAAAAATAACCTCTCCTCATCTCTGTTTTAAATCTGCTACCCCTTATCCTAAAACCAAGACCTCTCATTCTAGATTACCCCACATGTGGAAACATGCTGTCTAAGTCTACTTTGTCAATCCCCTTTAGCATCTTTATACCTCAACATGATCTCCTCTCATTGTTCTAAACTCTGGAGAGTATAGGTCTAAACTGCTCAATCTTTCTTCACAGGACAAACCCATTTTCTGTGGAATTAATCTAGTGACAATCCTTTGAATTGCCTCTTATGCAACTACATCTCCCCTCAAGGGGGCCAAATTTGCATGCAATACTTCAGGTCTGGTGTCACTAATGTCTTGTATAGTTGCAGCAACACTTACCTACTTTTATGCATTATTGCTTTAGCATATTGCATTATTTCATTTGTCTTCCAAATTATCTGCTGCACCTGCATTGCAGTTTTCTGTGATTTGTGAGGATAGTATGACTTTAAGAGGTATATTTTGTCTTAAGAAAGGCTGAGACAGAGGCGACAAGTGGTCTGCTCAAAGCCAACAAAGTACACAACTTGTGAAGCCTTGGGTTTTTTGAAGTAGGAAAAACAGAAGCAACCTGATAATTATAGCTTTCAGCAGTTGCATGGGTCTTGAAGCTGAATGTGAAATCTTATTCCTATCTCTGTTACAGCTAAAAGCTGGGGTTCTCTTTCTGCTGCTAGAATTTCATGTGAGACAATCTGTTTACTGAATTTGCCTTTGCCAAGGGTGTGTTTATGGGATGTTACTATATTGAAACAGTTAATTAGTTGTTAATGTATATGTTATTTTATTAAGTATTTCAATAGATACAGTTAACCCTTTTTTAAATTTTGTCTGTGTTTTAACTGTAGTGTAAAAATAAAGTGTATTTAGCTTAAAGTCAAGTAGTTTGACCAATCAAATTGCATCTGGAATGGAATGCCTTACACTTACCTTTAAAATAAGAAAACATTAAGTCTAGGCTATCTTCTTAATATATTTTGGGAGCTGGGGGTGTGGGTTTGGTCCGGTGCATAACAGATTGGGTATTTCACTATGTATTTCGATAATGACAACATAAGGATAAGGGCAAAATTTAACAGCTTTAAAATTTGGATTCCATTGGATGTGGCTCCATTATTTCTTTTTCCCTTGAACCACCATGTTTGATTTTAACTGCCTTATGACATGCTGCAGGTGATTGACTAAGTTCTTATGTACAATAAGAATTTATAATTACGCTACCCGTAATTTCAGACGTTTTCTCTTTTAGTAACATTGCACATGTAAGCATTACCAGGCCATACCCTATTATTGAAAGCCTGATATTTGCATTAAAACCTGATGTTAACATGTGGCAGTTAGACCTCTTTTAAAAGCTGACTTCGTGGCTGTACTGATTGTAAATGGTGCTGTTCTGCCAAGGCAGGCATGTTGACATCAGACCTATTTCTGCTGCAGTACAAACTAAATAGATGCTCTGAAACTCATACAATTGAGTTAGAAGTCTGGGACTAAGCAAAGATGAAGATTATCATATAATCTGCTGTCACTATTGCCTGGAGACTGCAATGTTGCAAGTAGTTGCAATTGATTAATTGTAACTTAACCCACCATGCATCATGGTATCAGTTTTAAAAAAAAAATCAAACTTTACACCATTTTCCCTTCAAAAACCCTGGCTGACATTGAGGTACCAGGCTTGCATTTTGTCAGAATTTCTTAAGTGTATTGCTTCTTAGTAAGTTATTCAATATGTGTAGATAGCATTTCTAATTTTGTTTCTTTACTTTTTTATATAGGTTCAAATGTGCACAAAGCGATGGTCTATGAAAATTTCCCAAGAGAACCAACTTCCTCTAAATAGCATCAAATGCCAGGAACTGGCCAATTACTACCTTGGTTTTAATGGCTGGTGCAGTCGCATAATTGCAGTAAGTAGAAAATAGACATTCAAAACAATCTTACTATCTCTGAATAAAATATAATGGCCTTCCTTGTATTTAAAGTATTTATTGAAACGAACTTGAGCAGCCCATTTTTATGCTGTAGTGTAAACTTCCACTACTTTTTAAATAACGTTGTTCACTGTAGCTGCTTGCCCTTCACCTACACTTACATGGTTATTGTCAGCCACACAGAGTGTAATATTGAATATGTCTTGTTCTTGAATTGGAGCCTTTGATTTACTGATTTGTTGTCACTTGCTGTCTCTCTCTCTCTATCTTAAAACCTTTCACCTTCCCCTCACATTCACAAAAAATAAACTACCTTTTGAATTCCTCACACTTCAACTCCATTCAGCCTTTCCCATGGCTTGAGACAGCATTGAAATCTTATGGTGATCTTCATAACTCTTCACCATTTGTTTGTCCAGGGTCAAATACAGGTTATTTGTGCTTCCCTTTATTAAAAACATGTTCACTGACCTTCAAGTGTGGAGATCATAAACTCAAACATACGTGGTAAATATTACAAACATGATTTATACTCAACTGTTGTCTTATTTACAAGGCATTATTCTGTCCAATGTAAAATTGTCCTGCAGAAAGCATTAACTTAAATTTTATTTTCCATAGCTGGTTGTCTCCTTGCGTCATCTGCCATACGTTCCCTCCATTGTCAATTTATACAACTCTATGAAGCACTTGTGTGTCTTTTTTACCCAAAACTGGGGACACTTCCAGCTGCAGAGATAGTAGGAACTGCAGATGCTGGAGAATCTGAGATAACAAGGTGTAGAGCTGGATGAACACAGCAGGCCAAGCAGCATCAGAGAAGCAGGAAGGCTGACGTTTCGGGCCTAGACCCTTCTTCAGAAAATCTAGTGCAAGAGTGTGTTAAGAAATTAAGCTCAAGGATGTACAGTTTGCAAATTTCTGACACTGGGCTCAGTGTAGAGATAGCTGGGAGAGATTTCTGTGATCTTTGCCCAAACCAAACTGGAGAAAATATTAAGTTATTCATGTCTAATTCTTGAACAAGCAGGTGAATAGTTGCAACACCCACAGAGTTATGGAAGGAAATAAAGGGGTAAAATTAAACATCAATATACACTTGGAAACTGATCTCATTTGTTTCTGAAGAAGCGCCTGAAACGTCAGCCTTCCTGCTCCTCTGATGCTGCTTGGCCTGCTGTGTTCATCCAGCTCTACACCTTGTTATCACACTTCCAGCTACTCCATCTTTACAAACACTTTTTTTTTAGTTTACAGTTTCAGGTCCATCTTCTGTCTGCCCTCTGTCTGCGATCATACTTGACACAACCTTCCTGGCATCCTGGACTGCATGTTAACTCCTATTCATGCTTGCTATTTCAATCAGTCTTTTGTCCTGCTGATCAAAGTTCCCAGGATATCCTCCATGACTGATTGTAGGTCACTTTCTTTTCATCTTCGATTATTTCTCCACTGTATTGAATCACATTGAACATGCTTCTTTATTCTAAAAATTCTCCTCCATTGTCCATCTGGTGCATTGCATTTTGGTGCATTACCACTAGAGCCATCGAGTCATAAAGATGTATAGCATGGAAACAAATCCTTCAGTTCAACTCGTGCATGCTAGCCAGATATCCTAAATTAATCTAGTCCCATCTGGGCCAAATGCCAGCAAATCCCCCTCAACCCTTCCTAATTCATGCAGGCATGCAGATGCCTTTTAAATGTAATTATACCAGTCTCCACCACTTCCTCTGGCAGCTCATTCCATACATGCATCACCCTCTGCATGAAAAAGTTTCCTCTTACGTCCCTTTAAATCTTTCCCCTGTCATCTTAAACCTGTGCCCTCTAGTTTTGGACTCCACTACCCTAGGGAAAAGACCTTGGCTATTTCCTCTATCTGTGCACCCCACCCCATGATTTTATAAACTTCTATAAGGTCGCCCCTCAGTCTCCAGTCCAGGGAAAATAGCCCTAGCCTATTCAGCCACTCCCTAAAGCTTAAGCCGTACAACCCTGGCAACATCCTTAAGTTTTTTTTCTGGACCCTTTCAAGTTTCACAACATCATCTTTCCTATAGCAGAGAGAACAGAATTGAATACAGTGTTCCAAAAGTTTTTGGCCTAACTAATGTCCTGTACAGCCTCAACATGACCTCCCAACTCATACACTCAATGCACTGACCAATAAAGGCAAGCGTACCAAACGCTGCCTTCACTATCCTGTCTATCTGCAACTCTATTTTCAAGGAACTATGAACCTGCACTCCAAGGTCTTTGTTCAGCAACACTCCCCAGGACCTTACCATTGAGTGTATAAGTCCTGGCCTGATTTGCCTTTCCAAAATGCAGCACCTCACATTTATCCAAATTAAATTCCATCTGCCACTCACCCAATCGGCTCATCTGATCAAGGTCCTGTACTACTCGGAGGTAATTTTCTTGGCTGTCCACTACATCGCTAATTTTGGTGTCATCTGCGAACTTCTTAACCATACCTCCATAAATGATAAAATGCAGTGGACCTAGCACTAATCCTTGTGGCACACCACTGGTCGCAGGCCTCTAGTCTGAAAAGCATACTACTTTGCATCGAATGGCATTTCATGTCATGCTGGCATGGTCACCTGTAGTTTATCAGTGAAGCTGTGTATTGATGGAACTCTGATTCATTATTTGCATGTCTTTTGTTGATATTTGGACAAATGAGATCAGTTTCCAAGTGTATATTGATGTTTAATTTTACCCCTTTATTTCCTTCCATGACTCTGTGGGTGTTGTAACTGTATTCACCTGCTTGTTCAAGAATTAGACATGAATAACTTATTTTCTCCAGTTTGGTTTGGGCAAAGATCACAGAAATCTTTCCCAGCTATCTCTAAACTGAGCCCAGTGTCAAATTTTCAAACTGTACATTCTTGAGCTTAATTTCTTACCACACTCTTGCACTAGACACTAGAATTACTTTCTTGCTTGAAATGCCTGTTTCTGCATCTATTAATGAAAAATACATCCACACTTTTTTTCTTCTTGAGGCTGAAATTATTTTGCAGTTCTTGCTGTCTTCATTCTTTCTAAATTAGTAACCGTATTAGAAAACTGATTTATTGCCGCACATGAACCTTGCTAGTCACCCAATATCTGGTCTACTCGGCTTCACAGTCTTTTCCATTGCCAATAGTATCAACCTCAAGCTCTGATCTTTCATTTAAATCTCTCTATTTTCACATTCCTCTAGTTATATTTTCATGTGTTCTTTCTACTTCCAATACCAGATTATTTGTCACATCCTTGCACCACTGATCGTTGCTCCTTCAATCACTATGCTTTCCAACCTGTAATTTTCTATTTTGGTACCTTTGCTTCTGTTTCCATCCATGTCTTAGAAGCCTCCTGCCGACACTTTTTCTTTGACTATACTTTCATGCTACATTCCACCCCTATTTTTCTCCTTTATGCCACAGCACAAGGCCTGAGCATAAAGCACTCGGGTATCTTTACACTTTATATGAGGTGCTTTACGTGAATATGAGCTATCATCCTATAAATTAGTTTACCATTCATGCACTTAGCACATGATCAGCAATATGTCACCAGATTAGAAAGAAACTGCCCCATTGATGATGACACAGAATGAGGAACCTCTTATCATGCTGCAGCTGCAAATGTTGGAAATAAACTAGGTTTGAATGAAGGTTTTTTTCTTATAAGAAAGAAAAAGGGACTTTCACATTTTCACCACTCGTGTGAATATTCAGTAACTATTTTCCGTTTACCATCAGTATGCCATAAAAGGTGCAAAGTTGGTCTAAGAAAATGGCCCTAGTTAATTTGTTGTGAGGGGAATTGACTACAAATGTATTGAAGTTAGACTTAAGTCATACAGGCATTGCTGAGATCACATTTGGAGAAATACATACAGTATTGGTCACCTTATTTAAAGAAGGATGTAAATGCAAGGAAGCAGTTCACAGGTCTACCAGGCTAATAATTGGAATGGACGGGTTGTCTTAAGGAAATGTTGGACAGGCTAGGCTTGTGTCAGTTGGAGTATAGAAGATTTAAGAGGCACCTTGATTGAAACATTTGGATCCTTGGGGATTATGACATGTGGAAAGGATGTTTCTTCTTGTAGGAGAATCAAACTAAGAGTCCTGTTTAAAAATAAGGGGTTTCCCGTTTAAGATAAACAAAAAAAAATTTCAGATGGTCATGAGCCATTGGAATGCTCTTCCTCAAACAGTGAGGCAGAAGTGAGTTCTTGATGAACAAGAGTTGAAAGATTATCGGGATAAGCAGGAATATGGAGTAAACAGTCACGATCTTGGTTGAGTGGCTTATTCCACCTAATTCGTGTGTTTATATGTTTTTTCTCTTGTCCTGCTTTGTTGAATAGCAGTGCAATATTTGCTAGCTTCCCCTCCCTTAATACCCTTCTGTAATGTGAGGAATTTTCTATAATCACAACCAGCGCTTCCAACCTCTCTGAAAGCACCTCTTTTATAAGTTTAGAAAGTAGCCTCTCGTGTCCAGGAGATTTGCCCCTTACTGTCCCCATAGTTTCCTGTGCTGATTTAAGTACTTTAACTTCCTCACTCTCATATACCCTTTGATTTTCAGTCATTTTGGGAATACTTTTTGGACGTTCTACTGTGAAATTGGGTACCAAATACTTTGTTTTCTGCCATTTTCCTACTTCCCACTATAATTTCTTTCCTCTCAGCCTGTGTGTACTTTTGCTTCCATTTTGCTTACTTGTAAGAACTTGCAATCTGTTTTGAGATTTCTTGCTATTTTATACTTGTATGATTTTATTTTGACTTTTTGAATTTTTGACCATCCTTTGCTGTTTTCACAACTGTTCCAAATATTCAGACTTACCACTATACTTTGACATTTTGAGCCTATTCTTTCAAGGCTCCATTTAAAGCCAGTGATCTCACTACGTGGCACACCATACACACATGGGCAGTAGAAATGTATTGCAGGTCTACATCACCACAAAACAATGGAACAGTAGCTGATTGTAACAAAGATGGTCCTGCCCAGCCATTCACAGGGTAGACGTCATGAAGTGTTCCTAGAAAAATTAAATATTCTGATCATGAAGGATTTATTCCTTTTGGAATGCTGGATTGAGCCGACCAATCACTCCACAGAGGTTAATGTATCACTTGTATGAGAGTGTGATTGTTTCAAAAAGCTATATTTAATTCTGAGAGTGTTTTGTAGTAAAATAGATACTTTACGTGACTGCCGTTGTGCATGCAAAATGGCATAACAGCAACAGATTCCTGCTGCAACAGATCAATGTCATCTGGGCTCCACGAGGCATGCATGTGCACACAGCTGCCCGCAGCCATCTTTAATGACACTCTTGTCTTTGGAGCACACTTACTTTTCATTCAAAACTTAACATCTTTAGTCGATCATTGCTGAATTACTTTTACTGTGGTGATTGCTTCTTGATGGAATGTAGTTTCACTGAGAATTGTTCTGAATGTATCACTGCTTATCTATCTGTATTTTTTTAATCCATTTACTCAATTAAATTTAGGCATAAAGCTATGTAATTCGCTTACCAAAATTAAAGATTCCTTCAGATATAAGCATATCACTGAAATTGTACATGAATAAATTCACATGCAATTCTATTCCAAATGAATTGTACCATTAAGGTCGCTCTGGTTCACAGGTTACTTAACTGTGAGGTTATTCATTTACCCTATCACATTCCAGAATACAGAATCTGAAATATATGCCTTGGTTGGTGCCATGTTGTAGTATTCTGGGAAACGGTCTTGAATTATTCTATGAATTAATTTTCCAGGCTACCTTTGACAATTTGATTTGTGAAGCACCAATTCCTGCATAAGTTGTGATGTGGAGGTGCCGGTGTTGGACCTGGCGTGGACAAGGTCAGAAATCACACGACACCAGGTTATAGTCCAATAAACGTGTTGGACTATAACCTCGTCTTGTGTGATTTCTGACCTTGCATAAGTTGTATATGCTGAGGGTGTCTGTGTTCTAGTTCTCAATTCATTGTCTTATTTGCAGCCTCTGTTTCTAATATACAGCTCCAGAATATTTCTAATTCAGGTGGATGTGAAGAAAATACACAGGAATTGGTGCAACTGGAGAGAAAGAGCATGAAATATATTTGTGTTATGGAAGTTAAATTGAGAAATTACGGCATGTGTTGTAAAGGTATTGGGATTTCTGAAGAATTTGACCAAGACACAACAGGTGAGAAATAAATTGGAACTTGCATAATAGGCACTATATGAATGTCTTCTTATTGGTATTATCAAGAGTGATGTTGGTCAATATATCACTTGCTACCATTCTACAATACTATCTTCATGTGCCATTTATCTATAAGAATAATTTCAGCAATGTAGTCTTTCCTCAATGACTTTTAAATTTGTACTTTGGAATAGAATCTCAACTCATTTTCCTGACTTGGAGTCAAAGGCAAACTGGAACTTCCATTCATATTGAGAAAAGCACAGAATCGGTTTGCAGCTAACCTTTGGATAGAAATTTGAAACGTATAGGAGCTTACTTTATTTTAATACTGTAATGATTATGTTTCCATTATGGGCTCACAAAAAGCCATTTCTCCACACTGCTGAAACACTTAGAATGGAGTTAACCTTTACAGGTGATAATATATAACCCCTTCAAGTCTGTACTGGAACTTTAAATAGAAAAGCAAGTTTTTTTTTCTACTGCAAGAAAATATTTTAAAAAGCCTTATCCAAATTATGTTTACAATGGACCAGCTGAGATGCATCTCACTGTTATGGTTTTGGTCAAGATCCTATATGTGTATATTTTAAAATGTGATTTCTCTGTTTAGCTACATGATTGACACTCTTTCCTGTTACTACTCCCCCAAAGCCATATGTGCAGGTTAAATGTCATTAGTTGCTGCACTCAGTGAAACTAAATTAACCTTTATGCTGTCGGTTTCCAGATAACTGAATCATACTTAGCAGCTCAACTGGTTATGTGCGAAGCTTAACAATGAACTTATCTACCTTTCTTTGTCTTTCTCCAATTCCTGCTCCTGTTACCATGCTAATATTTCAGTCTATTCAATCTGTCTCTCTTTCAGTCTTGCACCCCTTCTTAACATAATCTTGCTATAAAGAGTGTTTTAATTGCAAGTATCTCTATCGGCAACAACATAAATCTAATGAACCACAGCTAGCCAAAACCCTGGATATCAACATAAGCAAAGGCAGTAAAGTTGACAAATGGAGTGCAATAAAACACAGCTGTGGGAATGATGATGCAAGAAATAGAAAACAATAAATAGTAGAACTTAATGAGTGAAGGGCATGAGAACAGATTCAATGATCAAACTAAGGACCAATGAATGAAAGGCGGAAGCATGACTGTAGAATTGCAAGGGAGCAAAAAGCAAAGGATGTAGAATGATTTCAGATGCTATGGGGCAGAAGTTTTTGGTTATAAAAACACCATTTGGAGTCAGGACATGCATTTAAAAACCAGATTTGATGTTGATTTCAGCATCTTCACTCATGAATACAGCAATTAAATATTAAACATAACATTAAATATTTTATCTGTTTTAATTTTAAGCTGTGACTGGGACATAGGGAAGTACCAGGATGATCTTATTGTTAGATTTATTTCTTTTGGGTACAAGTTAATTGTTTCAGTTATACAGAAGATAGTTGCCACATCAGGAATTATACTGTAGGCATTAATCACAAACCCTGGAAGAACTGGGGAAAAGAAATATATTAAAAGTGGATCTTACTTATGGGGTTTTGTGTGATTCATTTTATTTGTGGCAAAAGAGTTTCTAGCAGATTCATTTCCACCAACACTGTTCTTGCTATGATATGAACTGTACCCTTCCCATGCTTGCAGTGTTTAAGTGAAAACACTACAAATGCTATAGATGAATAACAGAAACCGACTGATAAATATCCTGCAATGCTGTTTGAAGTGTCTGAACAGTGCAAAAGAAGTTTAAAATTAAATGATTCTAAAGGAAGATGCTTTGGATGTCATTGATACAACTCCGGAATTATGCTTATAGTTAGTGTTGTAAACAAACTCTGTCTGGATCCTAACTTTCACTTATGCCCATATTGACTTATCGCCCTTGTGCTTGCTAACTAATGCTGGCTACTAGTTCAGTATTGCTTTGATTTTAAACATTCTCATCTTTGTTTTCTGATCCTTTCATGGTCTCGCCCCTGCAGGTTGCTGAGATTTTGTGTTTCTTCAGTTTGGGCATCCTGCACATGTTTTTATTGCTCCATCGCTGGACACTACCTTCAGCAGTCTAGATTCTTAAGATCTGAAATTCTATCCCTGAACCCCATATTCCTCTCTACCCTGTTTCTTAAAACATACTTCTTTGAACAAGTTTGACTTATTTAACCTAATACCATCTTGTGTGACTGTCTCAACCTCCTTTGAAGCACTCATGACTTTTTACCACATTAATGATTCAATATAAATGCAAGTTATTAATTTGCTTTAAGCCCTACCTGTAATTTAGTGACATAAGGATAACCCAAGTAGGCTTGGAATTAAGACAAAAGCTCAGAAGCTAACACCACATTGTAAACCGTAATGGAAAGTGCTGTACAATGAATGCAGTGGCAAATGGCTCAGTTCAGTTGAAGTATCTCTCACGATGGGAGTAAAATATTCAGTTGATTTTATGGAAACTAGGAGCTTAGAATGCACATGCTTGTGAAAATCAGTTATCGGTTGCAAGTGAAATCCTGTCACTGATCTCTGTAATGATTTTGTTTTGGGTTTACTAAGAAATTGCTTGAAGTTAATGATTTTGTTCTGGTATTCACCCTGTATCTGGGAAGCTGTAGGTGTAAAGGACAGGGATGTGAGTGTGAATGGTTTCCGTTATGCTAGATATTTGAGGTTCCATTGACTCAATTTGCCACATTCAAAGATCAAAGCTAAATCATATTGTTAATCTTTTTAAAACAGGTAACTAATTTGGATTTATACACTGCACAATTTGAAACTGTCATTATCAGTTGTGTTTCTATAACTTGTGGATAGAACTGTTGCTTTGTCTGATTCTTCTAAATTCAAGGTACAATTGGCCGAGACAGCAAGCAATTCAGATTACCAGTGTGAATGTGAATGTAATCAGACATTTGGCGCAACAGAAACAGTCTGCCTCTGACTCATCACATCACGAATGCAGCCTCACTGCAGAACTTCACCCAATGATCCACATAAGTATAGTACTGACCGAGTGTTATGCTCTTGGGGATGCTTTGTTTCACGAGACAAACACAGTTCCATCTGCCTATTGAAGTGAATGTGAAGGAGTAAGTAGTACTTTTCAAAGACTGGGGAGTTTGTCCTTGACAAACACCACATAAAAAGACTAAAACATTGTTTGTTTATTGGCTGTCTTTGATCTTACTGTATGCAATTTTAAAAAAAAGCATTACTCTTCTAAAATGGTCAAAGAGATGTGAAATGCTTTGAGACTTGAAAGGATTTATTTGAGTTCTTCCAAATATGTCTGCAGCAATATATTGTTAATCAAATATTCCTAATCATCTGAACACTCATTGTTAAGCTTTTATTCTGTTGTAGATCCACTCAATTTTGCCTTGAAAGTTGGAAGGGCTCAAAAGGCTGCAACACAGAAAGCTTTATCAGATGCATTTCAGAAGGTCTTCATTGTTGTCCTAGGTAAACTTTTTTAAAACTTTCAAATTTTTAGCTTTTCAGTTGTATGATTAGTAGCAGTGCAGAACACATTTCAAAATGGCTTGAGTCTCCGCACAACAAGGGGAAATATTGAGTGATGAAATTCTACCAGCACTGAGAAAATTTGACTTTGAAACAGTTATTGAATAAAGGGAAAGATAAATGCCTGTTCAGAGGCTTCATTTTCTCAACTATCAACATAGAAGATTTTACAGCCAGTGTGCTTGATGTCAGACACTAATTAAACATTGGATTGATATCTAGACACTCGCGGATGCACTCATTAAAGAAATGTAACTTTCAAGCTCTCTTTCTCCTCCCCTTTTCTTGAGTTGACTTTATGTTGGTGTGTGATTTTCGAACGAATGTTCCCCTCTAAGTGTCCATCTTTCATTTCTGAATTTAAAGATGTTGAGTTGGGCATTTTACTCAACTCAAGAAGGCATCACAGTTAAACCATGTAGCCATTTTTTTTTTTTTGTCTTTCCTCCCAGGCTTTTCAACACTGACAGATTTTCCCCTCCCTAGTCCTGAGGTCACATAGTAGGCATGATGAGTTCTGGTAGCACAGAAAAGGTCCTTTTCTATCCTGAAACCTGCCTGGCTTAAACAACAAAACAAAGTGGAATTCACATGATTGAGAACACCATTTACCATAGATGGTACTTTATTCATTCATGGGAAGTTGGCATCACTGGCAAGGTCAGCATTTATTGCTTATTCCTAATTTTTCTAGAGAAGGTTGTTGTGAACACAAGAATTACAAAGAGTAGGCTGTTCACCCCATTAAGCTTATTCTGTCATTTAATAAGATCATGACTGATCAAATTGTGGCTGCAACTCCATGATGCAGCCTCCACTGCTCTCTAAGGAAGAGAATTCCACAGCGTAACAACACTCTTAAGCAGGTGAAAAAAAGTTATTCATCTCAGTCTTAAATGGAGGATCCTAATTTTTTAGCTGTATCCCAAGTTATAGATTTTGTCAGGTTTTTGAATGTTCCAATAAGATCCCTTCTCATTCTTTAAGCTTAGAGTGTAGGTTCAATCTGCTCAACCTTCCCTCATAAGATCATCCTTCAATCTAGCAAATGAGTCAAGTGAAACCTGTCTGAATAGCTACTAATGTAGTTATATTCTGTTGTAAATTAGGAGAACAAAATTGTACACAGTACTCCAGATGTGGTTAAACGAAAACCCTTTGCATCTGTGGCAACAATTTCTGAATTTAGTTATTTTTTAATTAACCTGTTCAGAAATGTAATTATACACCTCCTGGAACAGGTGGGATTGGAACCCAAGCCTGCTGGCTCGACAGTACCTATGTGCCACAAGACCTGTCAATTTCTTGCTTTATACCGGATTCTTATTACAAGAAATGCCAACAATTCTTTCGTCTTCCTGATCACATGCTGTACCTACGTACCAACTTTTAATGATTCATTTCTTCTTGGAACAATTGAGTACATTGCCAGGCCACTTCAAAGGGCAGTTAATATCAACCACATTTCTGTGTATGGGTTTGGAGTCTCGTATAGACTAGATGAGCTATTGAACAGGAGATTTCCTTCCTTGAAGGTCGTTAGAGAATTATATGGGTTATTTTTGTAGTTACATGGTCGTTGCATTAGCCCAGGCAATTTGTCTATTAGTTTAATAATGTAACCACTATGCTGCTGATCTCTACATATGTAAAACGTTTTTAAGCACCTTTCCCTCTTGACCTCTATCCTCCTCCTCCATAAGCATAGTAGAAATTGTGCATCACTAACTCCAAATGTGAAAAAGAACATAATTTTTGAAAGCCATTTTTGACTTGGCATTCAAGACGAAGCTTACGCACTGCTGTCAGCGAACCCTGGTAAGCTTTACTAAGCAAACGGTGTATTAGAACTCCCTGCAGTAGACAGTCTTTCATTTCCAAGAACGAGTTATTTTATTACACAACTTTACTGTGTTTTATATATGATAGGTTTTGGGGACTGGATCTCCCAAGACCAAGATACTCAATGCAATAGGTTATTAATGGTAATCTTACAAAAAATTTCAGAACCTTGTATGTTTGGTTGCATTGAAGGTGTGGGTAAGAACATAATAGGCTTAATTACCAGGTAGCCCGGGAAAGGAGCAAAGCAGGTCCTATTACAATGTGGAGCGATAGGGTTAGCAGGCCAGGCTACATCAGAGGAGCAGGAAAGCTGACGTTTCGGGTCGGGACCCTTCTTCAGAAATAGGGGAGGGGAAGGGGAAGGGGGCTCTGAAATAAATAGGGAGGGGGGCGTCAGGCTGGGAAAGGTAGGTGGGATGGTGTTAGGTGATTGCAGGTAGGTAGTGGTGGAAATTTGTCAGTGAGGTGGGAGGAGCGGATAGGTGAGAGAGAAGATGGACAGGTCAAGGAGGCGGGGATGAGGCTGGGGGTGGGGAGATTTTGAAGCTAGTAAAGTCCACATCGAGACCATTAGGTTGTAGGCTCCCAAGGCGGAATGAGGTGCTGCTGCTCCTCCAGTTTCTGGGTGGCGTCGTTGTGACACTGGAGGAGGCCGAGGATGGACATGTCGTCCAGGGAGTGGGAGGGGGTGTTGAAGTGGTTCGCAACTGGAAGGGGTCGTCGTTTGTCGCAAACCAGGTGCAGGTACAAACTGGTCTCCGAACCTCCGCTTGGTCTCACCGATGTAGAAGAGGCCACATCGGGAACAACGGATACAATAGACCACATTAGTGGATGTGCAGGTAAAGATCTGTCTGATGTGGAAGGTTTTTTTGGGGCCTGGAATGGAAGTGAGGACGGTGGCGGGAGGGGGGGGGGGCGGGGGTTGGTGGTGGTGGTGAGTGTAGGGGCAGGTGTAGCACCTCTTGTGGTTGCAGGGAAAGGTGCCAGGGTGGTGGGGCTAGTGGGGAGTGTGGAGCAGACGAGGGAGTTGTGGAGAGAGCGGTCCCTACGGAAGGCAAGTAAGGGTGGGTAGGGAAATATATCCTTCGTAGTGGGGTCAGATTGCAGGTGGCGGAAGTGGCAGAGAATGATGCGTTGAATCTGGAGGTTAGTGGGGTGATACGTGAGGACAAGGGGGATTCTGTCTTTGCTTTTATTGCAGGGAGGGGATGTGAGGGCAGAGGTGTGGGAAACATGAGACGCAGTCAAGGGCATTTTCGATCACTGAAGTGGGGGAAGTTGCGGTCCTTGAAATACGAGTACATCTGGGATGTTCAGGAGTGGAATGCCTCATCTTGGGAGCAGATGCGGTGGAGATGGAGGAATTGGGAGTAGGGGATCGCATTCTTGCAGGAAAGTGGGTGAGAGGAGGTGTAGTCTAGGTAGCTGTGGGAGTCCTCTCTCCCACCTATCCGCTCCTCCCACCTCACTGACAAATCCCCATCACTACCTACCTGCACTCACCTATCACCATCCCACCTACCTTCCCCAGCCCGACTCCGCCCCCCCGCCTGTTTACTTCAGAGCCGCCTTCCCCTCCCCCATTTCTGAAGAAGGGTCCTGACCTGAAACATCAGCTTGCCTGCTGTGTTCTTCCAGCTCCACACTGTTATCTCAGACTCCAGCATCAGCAGTTCTTACTATCTCTGAGATCCTATTACAACATGCTTTTACAAGAGGAGAAGGTTAGGGCTAATTTTGAACCTTTGCTTGTATATAAGTCTACTTTTATGTAGATGTTGAAATGCCACTGAAAGTTGTTGCTTTCAATAAGCAAACAAATGTAACAGTAGGAAGTTTTACTTCAGCATTCCATGCCGACAAGCAGCATTCAGGCTTGGGCCAATCAGTATCATTCATGCACGCAATATCCAGGCAATGCCATCTCAAACAGGCAAGAATCTAGCCATGTCCTGGAAGTTCAACAGAATTGCCATTCCAAATCCTCCACTTTCATCATCCTGCGATTACCATTATCCAGGTAAATGCCTGGGAATTCTGTGGTGAATCAAGTAGCTTTTGACTCCTCAAAGCTTGTCCAAATCTACAAGTTGAGAGTATGATAGATTACTCTTCAATTGCCTGGATGTGTGCAACTGCAGCAACACTCAGAAACTCAACATCCATGACAAAGCAGTCCACTCATTTAGTACTCTATTCAATTTTCTCCTTCCACTGGTGCATAATTGACAGTATTATATACCATCTACAAGGTAGGCTGCAGCAACTCACCAGGCCTCTTTTGACAGCATCTTCCAAACCTGTGACCTTAATCAGCAAGAATGACGAGAAACTATGCTAGGAATATCGCCACTCAACTTCCCTCTGATCACCCAACATCCTGAATTGGAACTGTAATGTGTTCTTTCACCGTTGCTGGGTCAGAATCTTAGAACTATTTCATAAAAGCCCTGTGGGTGTAATTATACCACATGGACTGCGGTGGTTCAAGAAAGCATCTCACCATCGCTTCCGAGTGGCAATTTAAAATGTAACAATAAATGGTAGCTTTAAGTGAACATAAAAATCAACAGTTAATGCAGATTTGATGCAAGTATTTCAAAGGGTAATGGACAGTTTTCTCTAAGTGGAAAATATCTTGAGCTATTGGGCTTGGGCAAATTATTAAGCCCCCGTGATCTCATAGAGCAAGTCTGGTAGTCCTTGGGGGTTGGACAGTTATTTCCTGTAAGTTCCTTCTCTGATATTCGTTTGAGTTATTTCTGACTGCATGACTTTGAAAGGATGAAAGTGCCTGGGATAGGCATAATGGAATAGTTAATTTTGTCCTTAATTTTCTTGCATTCGTTGAATCCTGTGTTGAGATGCTGCTTATCATTTGCTAACAACTGTAGGTTTAACTTTCCCTTCCTTTCTTTTTCTTGTAGGGAATGGGAAGGTGTCTCTGCAATGGAGTTCAGAACACAATGAAACTGACTGTTTCACAGAGGAGGAACTTCAAACACAACTGCAGGTACGGTCACTGGACACATCAAGATTGGAAAAAGTTCTTTAAGAAGTGGAAAACATGTTCCTTTTTATATAGATGGGACCAATGCAATAAAATGTATTTGTTATATTTATCATTCGTTCATTTGTTCATTCATTCGTACATATCATGTGGGCATCACTGGCTGGGTGATCATTTCTTGCCGATCACTAGTTGCTTTTGAGAAGTGGTGGTGAGCTGCTTTCTTGAACCACTGCAGTTCATTTGCTGTAGATGGACCCACAATGCATTAAGAAGGGAGTTCTAGACCCAGTGACACTAAGGTAATAATGATATATTTCCAAGGCAGGATGGTGAGTGGTTTGGAGTGGAACTTTCAGGTGGTGGCTTCAGAAGTATCTGCTGTCCTTGTCCTTCTAGATGATAGTGGTCATGAGTTTGTAAGGTGCTATCTAAGGAGCCATGATGTATTTCTGCAGTGCATCTTATCTTATGGATGGTACTGATTGTTGTGGTGGAGAGAGTGAATGTTTGGATGTAGTGACAGCCGAATGCTTTGACCTGGAGCTCCTTGAATGCTGGCAGAGGTGCACTCATCCAGGCAAGAATGGAGTGTTTCATCATACCCCTGACCTCTGCCATATAAATAGTGGAAAGGCCTTGGGGAGTGAGGGGTTGACATAGTCACTGTAAGATTGCTAACCTCTGAACTGCTCTATAGTCACAGAACCTATGTAGCTAGTGCAATTCCATTTCTGGTAAATGGTAACCCTCATGATGTTGCTAATGTGAGTGAATTCCAAGGGACGATGGCTAGATTCTGTCTTGTTAGAGATGTTCATTGCCTGGCAAGAATGTTTGTTTTTTTTCTCTAATTAGTTCCCTCACTATCTGCTACAGACCCTTATTTGCAGCTATATTCTTTAGCATTCAACCAGCTTGGTCAGTGGTGGTGCTGCTGCTGAGCCATTTTTGGTGGTGGACACTGAAGTCCTATACCTGGAGTAAATGCTGACCCCTTGCAACCCTCGGTGCTTCCTCCAAGTGCTGTTCAACATGGAGATTCTACTGATTCATCAGCTGAAGGGAGTGGGGATGGGGAGTTACTCCTGCTCTGAGAAACCTTTAAATTCACATTCTGTTTTGCAGTATCCTGAGATAAGTTTCTGGGTTTGTTTTTCTTCACAGGTAAATGACATTTCATGGAGTCAATTTGAACATGAGGGACAAGAAGAAATTCTTTCTGATTTGAGTTTTACTACAGAAGGTATGGAAGGAACAGAGACATGAAGAAATCAAAACCTCCAAGAACTTCTGAGGACAAGTGCCTTCCTGGAATCATTAACATAAACATTGTGTTAACTTTGTAAATCTAAGATAGGCAATTGCTTTTGAAAAATTGGAAGCACTCATTTTCATTAATGATCTGACAATTTATACTGAAGGTATTTCTACTAAGAATATCGAAAAAAATGCTCAGGTAACTGTCATTGTATAACTGCAGAACATCAATGTTTTTAAAGGTTTTTTTTTCCCCACACTAATATATTGACACATGTTGATTCCATATGTGGGATGTTGGTTAGCTGGTAGGACATAAGTCAGATTAGTACCAACAGGGTACAGAATGGGGTTTGTTCCCTTTTCCAGCCAAGTTAGATTTGGGTCCTGCCTCTTCACTATCTCTATAGTAAAAATTCTGGCACTTTGCAATTATTCAACAGATAACTACCAAGGACCTGCCTTTGGACAGAGGACTCAAAAAGATGATTCTGTATATGTGACGTTTTATAACTATTAAGTTTGAAAAATAAAATTTATCCACAAACACAATGAAGTACTTATAACTGCAGGAAGTATCTGTTGTGCTGGGGCTCAGACTTTCCTCAGTCCAAAACAGCCCTTTTATACAAGCAATTGTTAAGAAACAAAAAATGTGACTTCTGGAAAGTAACTTTACAAATACTTCCATTAATTAAAGTTTGTTGTCCAATTATTCTTCCTACCACAACCAGGCATTAAAACTCTTTTAAAAGGCATTGCCCTTTTCAATTGAGTAACAGCAACAAATTCAAAACAATCATTCAATTTTAAATAAAAGATTGTTAACATCTTTATTTGGAAGGTGCCATTTCACTGACAATATCAGTATATTCTATTTACTATTCATGTTTATCATGCTCATACAGAACATGCCCAAAACCTAGGTGAGCAAAGGGCTAGGGTACCATTTACAAGATTTCCAATAAACATTTATAGAGAGTCATACAGCATGAAAACAGACCCTTCGGTCCAACCTAATCCTAAACTAAGCTAGTCCCACCTGCCTGCTCCTGGTCCGTACCCCTCCTATTCATGCACTTATCAAAATAGCATCTAAATGGTGTAACTGTCCCTACATCCACCACTTTCTCTGGCAGTTCATTCCAAACACAAACCACTCTAAAAAATGTTGCCCCTCATGTCCTTTTTTAAAACTCTCCTCTCACCTTAAAAATATGCCCCCTAGTTTTGAACTCCCCGACGCTAAGGAAAAGATCCTTGCTATTCACTTTATCTCCGCCTCTCATGATTTTATTAACCTGTATACGGCCATCCCTCAACCTCCTACAATCCAATGAAAAAGTCCCAGCATATCCAGCCTATTTTTTTTTTTTATAACTCAAACCCTCCATTCCTGGCAACATCCTCGGATATTCAAAAAGATCATGGCATACTTACAGGTTGATTGCAGGTATTTCATTTCAGGCAGCATGGAAAATGTGGATACTTTTTCCTGTGTTTTATGACTGAAAAATTTAATGTAGCAAATGTACTTCCATTGGTTGCTGTTATGACTGGACTTGTCTTTGTGGTTGGAGCACACTGGGGAAAAAGGAGCAACTGCCATTGAAGTGGAGGGCACCATTCATAGCTTTTACTGAGTTACATCACCTACTGCAGCCTCAATCCAGAAGATAGATAGTGTTGTGACTTGGCTTCAAGGCCACTAACCTTTAGTCTTGATTCCACTGGAATTTTCCATACTGCAGCAAGGGAGGTCAGGAACATACCTTTGCCCCCAGGCAAGACTGCCCATTTTTTTTTCTATAGTTTAATATGGATACCCAAGCTGTTGCTGTCCTGAGCGAGGACAGATGAACTGGCTGTCTTTCTTTATTCACTGCTTGGTTCCAACAAAGTTAATTTGAATAGAATACCTCCCTTTTGAATACCATTCTCCAAATAAACTAATAATGTTTTAAAAGGAATCAGTTTACCTAGGCTTTCTTGATTTAAGAAAAAGAATGAGTTTATGACTATAGTATATTTATAAGTTTATTAATTACAACAGAGAAAAAAAATGAATGCAACATATATTCATACAATTTAGAATTAAGAGGTGAGTCCAGAAATATTAAAGCCAAAAAAAATTATACAGATCTCTGATTTGTTTGCAGAGAGTGGATGTTTGAAGATTTCGGACATTGCAGTGGGGTTACTGGTAGCTTTAGCAACAATAGTTGAGCAGTCGATTTTTGAGATTCTCGTTTTTGTAGACTGATTGAAATACCTTTGTCCTTTTTTAAAAACTGGTTTGCAGCATTTGGAATTAGAGAATGTCTTTACCTACAATGCACAATTCTTTGACTGTGACCTTCACAGCATGCTAATGCTCAAATACAGGATGGTACACATGGGAACGTTTAGCACCCCTAGTCCATTCCACTGGAGTTAGAACTGGCTTTTTAAATCAGTCCTTGTATATTCTTAAAAGGGGAAAAAAAACTTTTAAAAAATGAATGCAGTTTGTGACAGGGAGTTTTCTGTTGAGCAGCAGGTCATCATCCCCCCCCCCTCCCCAATCCCCATCCTTTGTAGTCACTAGAGATCACAATTCACTTTGTTTAAGTTTCTTTGGCACCTTTAGGATGTTACGTCCCATTAGTCTTGCACTTTTTTACATCTGTAGCAATCCTTTTTTGAAAAATACATTTTGGAATTAAACACGATAAGCACCAGTAGTATTTTTGGGTTCCAAATACAATGTAATATTGTATTTACACAGAACCTTCCATGACCGCTGGATGCCTAATAGTGTTTTGCAGTTAGCCAAGTGCTTTTGAAATATAGTTGCTGTTATAATGCACAACACACACAGCTAATTTATGCATAGGAAGCTCTCCTAAACAGCAATGTGATAATGACCAAATTATTTTTTTGTGATCTTGATTAAGAAAACTAGGGTTAGACTATCCTCTTCAAGATTGGAGGCGGGGGCGGTTGTTAGTGTGGTAGGAGGAAAGTCTATTTCTACTCTATAGCTAGTGAGGCAGAATGAGAACAAAAGATACTCACTTGTGCTGGGTTTTTCCCCAGAATCCAAGATGTTGTAAATAAACAAAATTATGCACTGAAGTGGACCATTCAGCCCATTGTTCCAACTGAAAAAAAGAGTTATCCAGTTTAATCCAAATTCTCAACTCGTGATCTGTAAACCTGTAAATTATAACATTTCAAGTATATATTTTGGTAGTTTTTAAACATAATGAAGGATTTTGCCTCTACCATCTGTTTAAGGCAGTGAATTTCAAAGATACTCCCTCTAAATGGGAAAAAAAATCGCCTCAATTCCCTTATAACCAATTACTTCAAATCAACGATCCCTGGTTGCTGTGCATCAATGGACAAGTTACTTTTGTGCTCAAAAACTGCTCAATGCTTCTGCTGCCTGAATATTGAATTTCTGGAGGATGGTTTATTCCTCTACTGCCATTGAAACTTCCACGTGAAAGAATTAGTTTTTGGAGTAACGAGAAAACAGACAGAAAAATGAATCACAAAAGCATCCTGGCTCGCAGACTGTGAATTGCAATAAATGTCGAAAGGCCCAGAGAGGATTAACTGTTAAGAATACCTGAAGATTTGCTCCTTCAATATTCATCGTTGCTATGCCCTTGATTGCCTGTCACAGCCAACACGTGCTCTCGTGAGTAGAAGGATTTGCTGACGTCTTATAACTTGTGTTGAGTATGAGGTTGTTCCGCAAGAAAGATGGTTTCTAGTACGGTTAGAGAATTTGGGGATAACCGTGGTCTGTGAGATGTGGGTTGTTGCTATGTTAGGGCTGTAATAGATGTGAATGTGAGGAATAAGTTTCGTGAGCGTGATGCTGAGTTTGGATGCAAGGGAATGTGGAAAGAAGGAGTCTTGTGGTTCAGTATTGTTATCTTGATTATTTCAGTACGATAATTGAAGTTCTCGCAATATTGCAGACATGATCTGGGTGCTAGATTCCTCGCACTTTTCTTAGAATCATAGAATCCCTACAGTACCTGTCGTGCCATGCAGAGGGAAAGAAATCCCCACTGCAGCGCCACAGAGCATGTGTTTTCTTCTCGCGTGTTTCAGCTAAAATGATGCTGTTTACAAAGGGATTTGACAATTTTAGATATGGGGATCAACAATAATTGGATGTTGTTTGAGCTGCCAGTTCGTGAAAATGTCATACCAAGAAAGAAAATTGAGCTTCAATATGTAAGGAGTCAAAATACAACAAAATGGGAAAGAAGGCGAAGAACACAAGTTGTGCAAATTCCCGAAAATGGCAGAATTACTGATATGTTACTTACACAGATCGGTGGTTTCTATACAGTATGTTGAGTGTTGTGAGCCATGTTGCGAATTATTGTGGACTATTTGTCGGACTTTGTGAAATAAAATGTAGTTCTGAATACTTACAGCTTGTACATTTGGCTGAATGTCCGACTTCATGGCTTGATTCAAAGGCTTGGCGAAATAAGAATTGGACCTATTCATGAATAACGGGAGGAGCGCATTAAAGCAGAAGCAGGTAGGGGGTGCTTTCCATCAGCAGTGAAAAGGATGGGGGGGGTGAAAGTTCTCTCTTTCCATCCATCCCAGCACATTAGTTGGGATTCAATGCTGCTGGCTTTGTCAGCTCTCCTGCACTGTAAAGTTGACGCAAAGGGGCAAGGCTGGAGACGTCACAATGGGAAGGAACGCTCTGCCTAGCAACCGCCATCTGGTAACCGGGTGGACATCAATCGGAGCAGCGCCTGAGAGGGACTGGGGGGGACATGGCATCAATGGTGTTAGTGGCATCGGGGCCTACGGGGTTCAAATCCTCCTGCCAGGCCTCGGTGTGAGCGACCAACACGGGTGTCAAGGAGGGGCCGAGCTTCCCAGACGCGGACGGGGAGGCCTGGGCTCGCTCACCGAGACAAGGGCCCTCCGACCTCCGAGGCGTCAAGGCCTCCCTTTTGTGGCTCTGTCGTTCCAGGTTGCACTCCCATCGCGCCCAACGCCTCCAGCTTAAGACAACAGGTGGCTTCACCTGGGCACAGAGGAACCACCATTTGGCTCTTAAGATTTGGGATTTCTCCACTGGGTGCCAGAGCTTATTTAAGATCATATTCCAAGCGTCCTGTTGTAAGTTCTTCCTTCCACACTCTGGACATCAAATTTCTGGGCAGCAGGCACCAAGTGGCCCGGCAGCCCGTGTGTGGGTTCACTAATTAGGGTACAAAATATGGCAGTTGGCCATGTCATAGTGATACTACTGCTTTGTAGACATCTTTATATTGGCCTAACGCAGACCACCACCGAGAACACTGAATCCCAAAATGCCTCTTGTCCTATTTTGTGCACATGTACCTCTTGGCTGTTATCTTGCATTGGTGCTGGGAAATGGCATCAGCTGGATAATGTGCCATTCATCAGAGGGTCATCATACGTATTCAACACGCTGTAAGTATCAGAGCAAGAAAACAGTATGCAGTAATAGCATTCATGAGAATTATTGTTTACATAATTTGTGTCTACTTTGAATGAATA